AACCAAGCTGAATCTGTTGGGTCGAAGAAATGAAGACTGCATTAAGTGATGACTTGATTGAAATAACTCGAATGACAATAAGGTCATGAGTGAAGTAATTTAATTTGATGATCTTTTCTATCCGACATGACATGGGGGACCATATATCTCCAACAGTACAATTTTGTGAATGGGGAGGGCTGGTAAACTACAATTAGTAGGGAAGCAAACATGTTATTATGTGTATGTTGCATGATCATGACTCTTTGCTAGTAGTGGCAAAAAGAACACCAACAGAATATAAAGTCACAACTCACAGAAATGCCTTAACCACAAAATTCGTAAGGTCAGGCAAATGCTCATATATAAATTAGTAGGTTAGCAAATGATTGGCCAATGGCTCCATTGCCTCATTCTGACATCGTTCAGGGCTGGCGGAGCTGACACCAAAAATTTATTGATGTTTATTCAACTGAGTAACATGTTTTGGAACTCAACCAAGAAGTAGAAAATCAACTTGCATTTCTTCTGATATACTACTTCCTGCCAAAACTGAGAGTCATGACGTCTATCCTAAATCCTTTCAAGTTCAAGTTCAAGTTCAAATTCGAAAAAGAACTCAAAAGAAAAGAGCCTCTCCTAACCAATCTATGTGGTCAAACAAACAGTACAATTAGTAGGTTAGTGAACAACTGGTCAAATGAGCTTTGCGATTGAAGTCTTGTATCAAGGATAAATTACCGACTTGCAAAGCTGATACCAAAAGTCTGGCTAGGACCGCTACTGGATTCTGGAAGTCATCCTTGTGACATTGGCACCTAGACCTTGAAGTTTCATCTCCAAACTTTCATAACCCCTATCTACATGGGAGATTCCACTGATTTCAGTACATCCTTCAGCAGCTAGACCCGCCAAAACCAATGACATCCCCCCTCGCAAATCAGTTGCAATAACTTGACAACCACATAGTGGACTAGCAAAAGGTCCATATACGAATATAAATCAATTTCCCAATACTCAGTTGAATAAATTGTTTCAGGAAATCAATCAAGAACTAGAGACTTACCTTGCATTTCCCTTCCCAAAAACTAATGCTGTGCTTCCACATACCTGAATTTTAGCTCCAAATTTCTGCAGCTCTGTTACTGCACAGAAGAAGATCATGAAACACTTGAAGAAAAATTTAATTAAAATAATCAGTGGAAAAGACATCAAACATTTTTATGCATTCTGACCAGATATTCTAAGACAATCATGTGAGATGACTCAGATTCTACGGAGAAAACGTAAACCGCATCCCTGATTGGTGAATGCAAAGCACCAGAATAAGAGAAAGGGGATGAAATACATATGTGTCAGAGTACAGTGGCCAAAGAAAGACAGAATAGAATCTTGAGCACACTGTTCTTGCTAAAAATTGGCAGTACATTTGGAAAGAGTCATGATCATGCAACATAGACATAATAACATGTTTGCTTCCTCGATAAAGAGATCAATGTTGATTCCAATAGCTGCTCAAAGTAGAATTATTAGCCGAAGTACAAACTTAAAATTACCAAAGCAATTGGGGTTTCATGATTCCAAGTAGTTCTCAAGAAAGATGGAAATCAACACAATGAGTTGCAGTTAGCAGTCACATTTTATTGAGCAGCACAGTGGTATATTTCATCACTAGGGAGTCAACCAGAATGACAAGTCAATAATCCAGATTGTAGAGTAACTTCTACAGGGATAAACTTCCGACATGAGCTATGCAGGTGATTTTCAAAACAACTAAACTGTAGACAAACAACCAAAAGTAGCCGGGCATCATAATTATCACATACCATGGCTCATACGATTTTCAAAGACAGTTTCCTCAATAACGCTTATGCCTTTGCATGTCGAAAGCAATGCCATTGTCAGAGGCTGGAGATCTGTCGGAAATCCAGGAAATGGATGTGTCTTGATATTGAACCCTTGCAAATTGTCTCTAGTTGCCCCAGGTACTGCTGAAAGCTGGTCTCATGAACCAAATTATCATAAGAAGATGTGCACGAGATGGAAGAATATTAAGACATTAGCACATTTCCTATACCTCCAAAGTGTCATCACTAAGCTGTAATATTTTACAACCAGCATGTGAAAGCTTGTCTAATAAACAAGTCAAATTGCTGTAAATGACAGGCGACATTGAGATATGTGATCGAGTAATAGCAGCAGCTAACATATAAGTTCCGGCTTCAATCCTGTCGGGCATTATACTATACTCAGAACCATACAGCCTTCTCCTTCCACTAATATACAGTGTGTCTGTTCCTGCTCCTTCCACAACTGCCCCACAATTTGTTAAGAAGCCAGCAAGGTCAATGATCTCTGGTTCCTGCATCGTACATATCAAAGTACAACAATTTAAAAAAATGCTCGGTGCATTTCAATAAAGATTACAGATTTATTAGATAGGAACTTCAAGTAACTGTCATAGAAGTTGAAAGACAATACACTTTCATACTTGAGCTGCATTTGAGATTACAGTATTTCCCTCAGCCAAACATGCTGCCATCATAAGAGTTTCTGTTGCTCCTACGCTGGGGCAGTCAAGTCGAAAGCTTGCACCAGTCAAACCTTTACCATTTGATACATGTGCTTGCACTTTTCCATCCCTATGTGGACTCAGAAAGTTAATCACTACTCGTATGCTATCAGTACTATGGCACAATCAAATTGAAAACATAGGACATAATAGCATGTCAAAAAGCTAAAAGAAAACTCCACATATAAGAAATCCAACAGACCCTAAGGGGGCTAGTTCAGTTTCAAATGGGTAGTGTCACGAGTTCCAATCTCTAGTTGGACCTTTCTGCCGGTACGAACTTATCGCACCCGGTGTTACACCAAACCAATAAATACAAAAGAATATGTTTGGCATACACACTTATCACCAAACCTATATATTCTCACTTTAATTTTTAACTACTCCCACTGTCTCAATTTATGTGGCACTGTTCGGATTTTGAGTCTAACTTTTTTAATTATGACCGTGAATTTGACATGGAATCTTTTAAGTTCTTCTAAATAAAATTTATATCTTTGAAAACTACTAAAAAGTACTAATATAAGCCACATATTTAAAAAGCGTAAACAAAAAATTGCAGTAAAAGAAAAACTTATTTGGCTCTCGAAATTCCAATGGTGCCGCATAATTGGGGCTTAGGTACTAAGGTTAAATTACTTATTTTGGTGTAAACACCTAATGTGAAAAAAATAACAGAAATTCTATGAGTTCACCAACCTCAACTCAACTGTAGCACCTAGAGCTTGGAGACCATGAATATAAAGATCAACAGGCCGAGCTCCAATGTCACATCCACCAGGTAACCCAACAGTAGCCTCACCAAATCGAGCCAATAATGGCCCTAACACAAAAAACCCACCTCTAAGTTTCCCAATTTCAGTCGAATCAGGTTCTACAGACAGCAGTCCATCAGTGTTAACCACTATTTCTCCATTAAAGGTCATAACTTGAGCACCCAGAGACTCCAAGATTGAAGCCATCGTTCTAGTATCTGATAAACAGGGTACATTTTTAAGGTTTGAAGATCCAGAGCAGCAAAGGGTAGCTGCAAGAATAGGTAAAGCTGAGTTCTTGGACCCACTAATGCTGACATGGCCAGAGAGTGTGGACCCCCCTTTGATAATTAGTTTTGGATCTTGAATGAGAGTTTTGGGAGGAGGAGAGAGTTGTTTAGGGTCCTGGAATAAGCAAGCGCAGAGAGGATTGAACTTAGAAGCCATTGAATGAGAGAAGCAAGAAGTAGTACTCTTTGAAATGCAGATTTTTTTTTTCAAGATTTTAGTTGAAAAGACAAAGAGACACAGAGATCTGGAAAGGCCTTGCTATTTTTAGGCAAAATAGAACACGACACACACTTTCCTCTTTTGGCAAACTAAAATTGACTTGGACTAATTAAAGTTCTTTTTTAATTTAGTGGTAAAAACTTGAGTTTTCTTGGTCTTTTTCCTATGTTTAAAAGCTTAACTTGGGATTTTAATTAGAAAAACATATTATTACTTTTTTCGTCTCAATTTATATGTTATTTGATTTGATACGAAATTTAAGAAAAAATATTTTTTTTATATTTATGTGCGTGGAAGCTGTAGCATGAAGTTGTATCATACTGCCATTATGAGTTTTCCGCATCTTTATGCAACTTCTTGCCTTCATTCATATATTGCTTGCCTCTTTTTCTATTATTAATAGATTCAATATTATATGTTGTTTACGTCATAATAAGATTAAAGTGATTCACAGTTTAGATGGCTATATAATCTTAGAGGCGGACCCAAGATTTGAAGGGCGCAGTGCACTTTTGAATTTAATTAAAATCTGCTTTGTATTATAAGGTGGTATCACTATTTTATAGAGATATACATATATACATAATAATCCTAATGTGCAGTTTACTTTTGTTGTCACACTAAGAAAAGAGAAACAAGTAATAATTTGTATCCAAAGAGAGAGGAACTAATTAAACAGAGAGTATGACTCACAATGGCGACGAAAATTGATGAAACGCTAAGTTCAGATTTTCTAATTCAATAGCTTAGCTTCATTAATTATATTTGATTATTTGTATATTCTTTCAGTTATCATTTATCATGCAACGAAAAAATGATAAGTTAACTAATAACCTTTTAACTTTTTGTTTCTTATCTTTCCATTAACCTTTTTATTTGACAAGCACTTCCACTTTCGTGGCTGTTATTCTTTCTGAATTTCAAATAAATTGTACATGTATGTATATATAGGTACACATGCTGCACAATATTACGTTAATTAATAACCACCAATTAGTATTTATGGCTTCAAATGCAAAGTGCTTGGTAACTTTTTCTTTCTCAAGCACTACATACAAGTGTAAAACAAAAGAACGGGTCATTTGCTTTGTAAATCCACTATAACAACAGAAAATCAGAAATAACGCTTAACCATATTTCCACAAATCCTTCCTCCTATAAATAGGATATTTCATTGTATTCAAACATCCGTGACACATCAGAAAAGGAGAACAAACAATAAAGAAAAAAAAGACACAAAAGGGAAAATGGCAAAAGCTATTGTTCTCCTCTCTGCCCTTTGTTTTTTGGCCATTGCCAACTTCGCCGTCGCTGAGCCCGAAGTCTTTGATGTTGAAGGCAGAGTCTTCTGTGACACATGCCGTCTTGGTTTCGCCACCACCCTTAGCGAGGCCATTCAAGGTATGAACAATAATAATAATAAGTGTTCCTCAACCCCTTTTGTTTTTCACAAAGAGAATACAAGCATTGGAGCAATAACAAGTTGTCGTCACGTAATGATCAGAAGGTCGCGGGTACAAGAAATAGAAATAACCTCTTACAAAAAATAACATGTACTACAATATTTGGTGCTGCTTCTTTCTTGGATCTTGTGCATAAGGAAATCTGAGCTACTTTGCATGACAGGCAGAGGCGAATTTAAGATTTCTTGAACATGGGTGCACCACTAACAAAAATAGGAAAAAAAATATTAAGTGGGAATCGATCCCTATTCCTTAGGATAAATAATTCAATATTCAACCAAGTACACTATTCAATATTTTTGAAGCATGAGTGCCAACAGATAATATTAGACTAATTATAGAAAATACGTACATAAAATATCTAGTTTAACAATGAGACCATGGGTTCACGTGCCCTATAATTGGGGCTATAAATCCGCTCCCGATGACAGATGTTCAATTGAGCCCGTTCGTTGAAAACTTATATCGTGCAAATAGAATGCTTTTAGTGTAGCAGAAGATGATTCAAAAATTGCTTTAGATGGTAACTTTGAAACCTAAATGCGACATTCATATATTTTCTGAAATTCCCTTATTAAAATTTTTGACTTCGCCACTAGCAGTAAAAGAATGTATTATTGGTGCAGGTGCCACGGTGCGATTGACATGCAGAGACATCGAGACACACAATGAAACATACTCAACAGAAGGCAAAACCGACATGATTGGCAAATACACACTAACAGTAGAAGGTGATCATGAGAATGACATTTGCGAAGTAACAGTGGTGAATAGCCCAAGAGAGGATTGCAAAGAGATAGTTTCTGAGTTGGTTAAAGGCAGAGTTGTGTGCAGTAAAAATGTTGGAATGCACAATGCTGTTCGATTTACTAACCCACTTTTCTTCCAAAAAGACAAGCCTGTACCTGGCTGCAAAGAGCTCGTTGAGGAGATGGAGCTTGTTGATCTCTTGTTACTCGATGATTGAACAAAATTTAACTTTAAGAGACAATAGCTTTTGCCCCTTTCGTCATTCATTTTGCAATAAGAAAAAAAGAATAAATTGGAATAGTGAACTTCTCCTGAATGTGTACTCCCATGGAAAAAGAAAAGAAAACTTTTTCCAAGAAGATGATCATGTGGTAGCTTCTTAGAAAATTTTGTGTTCCATAATTTGGTGTTACAAATTGATCATAATTTTGTGTCATCATTTTTTAAATTTGGCAATACTTACTATGTAATGAGAAGTTTTCTTTAACTTTAACTTTCTTCCTCAATTGGATCCTTTGTGTCAATAAATTCTCTCATTCATTTTGACTAGCAAGAAGTTGTTCAAACAAATTAAAAGAATTATATATATTGAGAAACATGTAAACAACTCCGGATCACTAATTTGTTTTAACAAATTGCACTTTTAGAATAGCAAATAAATGGAAAATTTGAACCTGCGACCTCGCTTTGGCACCCGGAGCGGCTCGATGGATTTCGTGGCCTGAGGAGAAATCATATTGAGAGGCTTTTAAATTTAATTATTTTATAAAATATTTATACTAACAACAAAATTTGCTTTCTAAACAACAAATTAATCATTTAAGACAAAAAATAATAAATTTCAAAAATAAAAAGGAAGGGGTCCACAAATTTTGATTTGGCTATCATCACAAACAAGAAAAAGAAATAAACGTACATAATATAATATCTTAAGTTTTGAGCATTAATGGTGTCAAAAATAGTTACACCTTCTGATCAATCTAAGCGATAATTGTAGTTCATTTTATTAAGTATCACTTATTGGTGAATATCTAAAATAAATTATAAATAACCTAATATAATATGTCGAATTACACCAAAAGAAAACCGGTGCATGAATACTTTTGTGTTCATGCAGTTTCAGAAAATATTGTAAAAGAAATTTATATGTGTTTTAGAGATTTCGTTCATTTCCAATGAATCGTCTATCAAATTATGTCAATTGATGTTTGATAAAAGAATGAAATGAACTTTCCTAATTACTTGAGAAGAAAATCCTTTTTTCTTTAAAAAAGTAGGAGGTAAAAGTATTTTTGCACATCCATGTCCGCTTTGCATGCGTTATATACAAATTTATTTGTCCTCATTTCCAAATAGACGAGTGTTTATTTATTTTTATTTATTTATTATCAAAACGATAGAATATTTTATTCATTGGCCGATCGACAAAGCAAAGGAGGTACCAATTTGAAAATTGATCATTCGAAGAGACTTTATGTACTAAACAAATAAACAAGTTGGTGAAACAATGTGAAAAATAAAAACTACGTAACAAGTTTATAAAACCAAAAAATCAAACCAAATAAGAGATGTATTGGAGGTAATGATTCCTTATCGAACACTTCACCAAGAGTTTGCTCTCATATGGTAACCTAAATATTAGCCACATGCCCACAAATAAAAGTTGTCCCAAGTAAGCATTTGAAATTTTCTTAACCACATGCTTCAAAGAGCTAAGTCCCAATCTCATTGAGTTAGGTCAACTTGAAATATCTCTTTAGTTAGATCATCCTTCAACTCAATAGATATCTACACACCAACAAGGGTTGTGGTGGAGAGGTTTCGGGTTCGAGCCTCTGGGTATGGGTATGGAGACGCTTTTGTTAGGTAATATTTTACCCCCCAATGTGAAACTTCCCGACACGAATCCGGATTTAGTCGGACCCCAATGTGAATACTGGACACCGATGGTAAACCAAAAAAAAAAAAGTTATAGAGTTAAAAACTAGTTACTAAAATACCACGTAATAAATAAATAAGTTAAATTTGAACGATTTAAACTGTTTGAGTCGGATATATTGATCACTTGAATAAGTAAACAAATATCGGATTTATTATGTCTATAAATTTAACTATCGGATTCAAGAAAACTAGAACCAAGTAACAGCTCCAACATGCTAAAAAACTACATCACGTTTATTATTATTATTATTCTATCTTAATTAGTGGTGTTTGATTCGGCACAAAATTTTTTAAAAATATAAGAATTCTTAAATTTGTGGTCTAAAATGAAATACAAATAAGGTAGAAATTCTAAAAATAAATTATTTTTAAATAATAATAAATATTTTTTTGAGATGGACTAAAAAGAAAAAAGTATCATATTATTTAAAAAATCAAATAAAAACTCTTTTAGTGTTGGCACCAGTCCACCATTATACGTGGAAACTATAAAATAGGCCCTATAAGAATCTCAACTGAACCACTGTACCACACATGTATTTTGAGAAAGAGTTGTCAAATTCTTAAAACTATCTCCACTATCTCAATTTTCCATTTCTCTCTCTAGAAAAATTAAGAACCCTTAGCGTAAACTCTCTGCCACCGAAGAACCCCACCCACCCAGGCAGCCTTCAGTTCAATTCCAATGGCGAACAGCAATCTTCCTCGCCGAATTATCAAGGTCCCTTCTTATTCAACCTTGATCTTCCTCTTCTTCGCTCGATCCATTAGGGTTTTTGATCTACTGATCGCTTTTATAACTTCGATTTAACTGATAACTTTTTCATATGCTTAATTTACAGGAAACTCAACGGCTTCTCAGCGAACCTGGTAATTTTTCACGAATTTTTGTTTTAAATTGTTCTTCTCCTTTAGCTGTGATGAACTTTTGAGCTTAATATTTAAGTTTGGAATACTCGGTGATATGATTAATGATTTGGATTGTTGATCTCACTATGTATGACTTTTTCTTTTTGAAGCAGCAAGTTTTAGTATTGATATATGCAAGCTATGTTACTAATTAAAAAAAGAGAGAGATTTACTGTCATTTCACTTTGAGTGCAGCACCAGGAATAAGTGCATCTCCATCGGAAGATAATATGCGATACTTTAATGTCATGATTCTTGGTCCTACACAGTCTCCTTATGAAGGTAACGAGCCCAATTTTAAGATTTTACTGCAACCGGTTTAATATGCTTAAATCATTTACTTGTTTTTGTTGGGTGTCAGATATATGTTTAAATTGAATCTTTGTGGTGAATTGGTTTTCTTCAGTGATGTACTGTCTAGCTAAGGTCTGTAGTTGTTGCTAGTTTTTTCCGGTTTCACACTTGAGCTTTAATTGGCCTAAACTGAACCCTGTCCCCTCCAATTTGTTCTATATTGTCCTCTAAAATCTTGGGCATCTATCTACCTTTTCAATTGCTGTGTGCTATACGGACCAAACATGAAAATTAACTAAGATCACTGCACGAATTAATCCTGCAGAATGTAAAGTTAACTTGACTAGTTGATAACACTGATTGTGAGATGTGTGGCTGCATTTGGAAAATTGATATAGTTCATTGTCTAACATATCACAACTCCCAGTAATTTGTTATGAACTGTCTTATTTCTATGGACCATAGCAGAAAGCTGGCTGTCCTTAGTATAAAATATTGAATGTTGGTGTGAAGTACAAACATGTTGCTCATGGTTAGTATTAGTTAAGACACCCATCAACTACCTTGTACTGTTTTCTTGATATGTTTATATGCGACATTCTTCTCTTTTAACTCGTCCAGTTTACAGCCATTGTTCTATCTGGTAGTAACGTGGATGATATGTCTACAGTTGTATTTGAATAATGTATGTTCTGATTGCCTGGTTTCTCTTTTGACTAAGTTCCTCTTCTTGCCTTTTTGTGTAGGAGGTGTCTTCAAGCTCGAACTCTTTTTGCCTGAAGAGTACCCGATGGCTGCTCCTAAGGTATTTAAACACATTAAGGACGTTTTGACAATTTCCAGTTGATATTCTGCAATATTCGTTCTTGAAATGGTATCTCAAAGCTTTATAACGGATAAAGGAATATTTCTTTTTGACTGATATTTCTTCAAGCCTGAACTGTCACCTTATGCATGCTGGATCAGTTGTTATAGTGCTTTGATTTCTGTTCCTATATAAAGCTACAGTTAAACTTGTCTTTTAGTCGATTGGGCTGTTGCCGTTGTTGCATAAGTAATTTTGTTTGTTTCGATGATATCCCTTTGCTAGCTATGTTTTGGCTCTCTTTTTGTTGATGTTGCCGGTCTCTGTCCTGGTGGAGTGTTATATCTCAATTTGAAATGAGAAAATATTAGGCATTATGCCTTTTTAAGTTATAGTCTGTTGTCTTTATGTCTGGCAATATGTTGCTACATTTTAACTTCAGGACGTTCCTTTCCGTGTTTGAAACTTAGTTGTAAAAGCTTTGCTGCTTCCTTTACCATGTTAATAGCTTTACTGTTACCTAAGTGGACATGTTAGGTGAAGTGTTTATCCTGTTTGTACCTTTTTTCTTGATAAGGAAAAAAAAAGATAAAAATTTATGCTACCTTGTAATTTGATCATGATATTTGTTAGTAGACAAAGTTTGATGTGAGATGTAAAGAAGCTTATGACAATTAAAATATTAAGGGACATGCTCTTATCAATCGCGACCATGTTCGACAACTTTTTACATGTTGAGGTTGCTTTTCTAGGAATACTAGTATAGGTGACTGTTTTCGTCCCATTCTTCCATTTGTATGCACTGTGGGGTTGTAAAAATGGTATACTTGGGCAACCTGGATATTAATATTATTGGAACTATGAGTCAAGATACATATTAGTGCTGGAAGAATTAAAGTACTAATGATCAAAATTTTCTGATGTTTAAAGTCTGTTTCTATGTGGTAGTGGCGATGTACAAATACTATTGCAAAACTTCACCTAAAAACTTGATCTAGGTTCTAGGAAACTCCCCCCCCCCCCCTCCCCTCCCCTCTCCCTCTCTCCCTCCCCCTCCCTCCCTCCCTCTCTCTCTATCGATCTTTGAAATCAAGCCAACTGGCACATCCAGTTTAAAGACGCTCATCCTTATTCAAAATGTGAGAGATGGTCATTCTTATTTGGACTAGGATCTTTCTGTTTGATTTTTTATTTTTTGATTGATAAAATGGAAGATCTTTATATTCGTAAAAGCTAGGCTTAAGATTTTTATCTGTAAGTAATGAGATGGGACCTCTTTTTGTTCTCTCTGACCTCCTACCATTACAACATCCCTTGCTTCCCTTGAGAACGGCTCCTCAGTGGAGGAGTAGAGAAAGTGGTCCCCTTTAGTGAACTTGCTTGGCATGTTAGTCAAAAGTGACATAGAGCAACAAAGGTTTTAGTATTAATATTGTTTTATTTATCTACTGATGTGTTGCCTATCCTATTATTCACACTTTTATCAACATCTGGCCACAGTTGTTTGTATCGGTGGTTTCAATTAAACTTTTTAAGAAAGATGATTTGTTGTGAACT